TAAGTCACCATGAAGAAATGTTGTTTTCACATCAAGTTGCTCAACTTCTAAATTCAAGCGGGCAGCCAAACCAAGAACAACTCGGATAGAGGACATTTTCATAACTAGAGAAAATATTTCTTTAAAGTCAATACCTTTCTTCTGACTGAATCCTTTCACAACTAGTCGTGCCTTATATCTTTGTTGTGAGCTATTGTTTTCAGTCTTCAATTTGAAAACCCACTTATTCTTGAGAGTTTTCTTCTCTTTAGGCAATTTTACCAAGTCATAGGTGTAGTTCTCAAGCAAGGATCTCATCTCTTCTTGCATGGCTTTAACCCACTCATTCTTATTCTCATGTAGAATAGCTTCTTAGTAAGTTTCTAGCTCTCCCCCATCAGTAAGCATAACATACTCATGTGGAGGATATCTGGTAGATGGTTGTCGCTCTCTAGTGGATCTTCTCAATGGAATCTCAACTGGTGGTGGAGGTGCTTGTTCAGTTGGTTCAGCATCATCAACTGTAGGTGTATCATCACTGGTATTCTCACCACAATCTTCTTGTTCATCTCCCCTATGATCATCATGAACTACAAGTGAAGGAACTGGACCCAAACTCCAAGGAATATAAATAGAGGTTTCTGGCTTCTCAATATTATCACCATCATCAAATAATTGGTCTTCAAGAAATACAACATCTTTGCTTCTAATAATTTTCTTGTTCACTGGATCCCATAATCTGTACCCAAACTCTTCATGACCATATCCCAAGAAGATACATGCTTTTGCTTTACTATCAAACTTGGACCTCTCATCTTTGGGAATATGAACAAATGCTTTACACCCAAAGACTCTTAAGTGATTATAAGATATATCTTTTCCTCTCCATACTCTCTTTGGAACATCATCTTTCAAAGGAACTGATGAAGAAAGATTTATCAGATCAACTGTAGTTCTCATTGCCTCCCCCCAAAATGACTTTGGTAACTTGGCGTGGGAAAGCATACACCTAATCATTTCTTCAATGGTTCTGTTCATCCTTTCTGCCACACCGTTCTGTTGAGAAGTTTTATGAACTATTTTCTCAAGCCTGATACCATGGAACCTACAATAATTCTCAAAAGGACCCCTGTACTCGTCACCATTATCTGATCGAATACACTTTAGTTTTCTGCCAGTTTCTCTTTCAACACTAACATGAAACTCTTTGAAAACATCGAGTACCTGATCTTTGGATTTCAAAGCAAAAGCCCATACTTTTCTAGAATGGTCATAAATAAAAGTAACAAAATAAAGAGCACCTCCAAGAGTTCTAGTTTGTATAATACAAACATCAGTATGAACTAAATCAATAACATCTGATCTTCTAGATGATGGATATGTATGAAATGCAACTCTATGTGTTTTTCTAGCTAAGCAATGATCACAAGATTTAAGATATGTACCTTGCAACTCAGGTAAGAACTGCTTTCTAGCAAGAGTTTGAAGTCCCTTCTCGCTGATATGACCAAGCCTCTTATGCCAAAGATCTATACTTTCACCTTTTTGAATTGCATTAATCTCTCATTTGTGTAGCTTAGCTTCCATAACATAAAAAGAGTTAAGTTTCTTTCCTCTTGTCACAATCAGAGAACTTTTAGTGAGTTTCCATTTACTTTCACCAAAATAATGTGCAAAGCCTTCATCATCAAGTCTACCTGTAGATATCAAGTTAAGACGAATATCTGAAACATGCCTTACATCTTTGAGTATCAATTTGCTCCCAATACTGGTCTCAAAAAAAATATCTCCAATACCCACAATCTTAGATGTACCACTGTTTCTCATTCTAACATTACCAAAATCACCAGTAGTGTAAGATCTAAAACAATCACCATGAGAAGTAACATGAAATGAAGCACCAGAGTCAATTACTCAGTTACTGTCCTAAGCTACAAGACAGACACAACCTTCATAATAGACAATAGTGATATTACCTTCAACAGCAACTGTATTGGTCTTTTTCTCATTTTTCTTCATTTCATTCTGTTCTCGCTTCCAAAACCTACACTCTTTCTTCAAGTGACCTGGCCTGTTACAGTGAAAGCATTTGATATCTCTTCTAGACTTGGATCTTCCTCTATATCCATGTGGGTTTCTGCTATGACTTCTTCCACGTCTTTCTTATTTTTCAATAACAAATGCCCCAGAAGAAGATTCACCCTGTTCTTTCCTTCTAGCATCTTCATTTAGCAAACTGTCTTTAACCATATCTATAGTTAGAATCCCCTCTAGCGTGGAGTTACAAATAGTCATCACATACGTTTCCTAACTTTCTGGTAAAGAATTGAGAAGTAATATTCCTTGCATCTCATCATCTATATTCATTTTCATAGTAACCAGCTTGTTTGCAAGACTCTGAAATAGGCTTATATGCTCAACAATGTTACCACCATCTTTATACTTCAAATTTACAAGCCTTTTGAGGAGAGAAATTCTATTTCCCACTATCTTTTTCGTAAAGAGGTTTTCTAACCTTTGCCAAACAACATCAGCTTTGGTTTCATCAGAAATATGCTCATGTAAGTTTATATCCATCCATCTTCTAATATAGGCAATGACTTTTCTATGTTGAACTTCCCATTCTTCATCGTCCATAGTAGAAGGTTTATCTTCAACCTTGATGGGCTTATACAAATCTTTACAATAAAGTAAATCTTCCATCAAACACCTCCAAGTGGAATAATTTGATGAGTTCAATTTAATCATACCATCTGACTGCTCCATTTTAATCACACAAGAAAAAACAGCACCAAACAACCTGTTGCTCTGATACCATTTGTTTGGAAAAAACCTGTTAAAGCCGAATATTCTTTTCCCTCTTTGTGTATCAAAATGGGTTCCTCATCAAAATACCAACTTGATATCCAAATGAAAATATCAACCAGCACAACATAAATAATAGAGCAAATAATCAATCACAGTGAGACCAAATCTTTTAACGTGGAAAATCCAATGTGGGAAAAACCACGGGACCGTAGTCCACCTCAAACTTCCACTATCAATAATAATAATAACAGGTTTATAGTAGGTCTTCTCTAGAATAACCAGAGGATCAGAATAACATCAAAAACATAGATCTTGGCTCTAGCATATCATCATATAGGATGGATCTCCTCAATAGAAAATTGTAGGTCTCATAGAGTGGATATAGCAGGAAAGTACCTTAGAGAGGGTAAACTGTAGATCAACACTGTTAGGGTTGTATAGTTTACTGCAAAAATTCTCCACATAAAATTTGGGTCGAAACTGACAACGTTTGGCGACCGATCGTTAAGTAGAAAACTCAGAAACCTAATATTTCTCTCTCTATTTCTCTATACGCTATCGCACGCTCTAATTTTTTTCTTTTTGTTTGCTGCCATCAATTAGTGATTTGGGCTCAATAGGCCCAATTGTCCAAGCCCATATATGGGCTGGACCCAACATTCCCCTCGATAGTCGTTAAGATTTTTCATAATAACAGCTGAGATTTTATATGAGGAAATATCGTTACTCTATTAAGAAAAATAGCACCATATCAAACACATATATTATATTCGTTTCATTTCTATTCTTAACCCTTTCAACCTCAAAAAAAAAAAAAAATTTCTGATTTCTTGGTTTCCTTCGTTCTCTTAACAAAGATACCGTAGCTGCTAGTTCTATGCTGAACTCTTGATTTGCTTTATATAATTTTACTTAAAAAAAAAGAGAGATTAGCATGCGATGAAATCAAAATCTTGGAAGCTTCTAGTACGTGAACTGTTATTTACAGTTAGTTAGTTAGTTAGTGAGTGATTGTGCAATCAGTGTAAAAGTGATCATTTTCTACAAGTTTGAAGATAAACGTTAGGTTATGATGTATGCTCAACTGTCGGTAATGATGTCACTTGCAAATAGCTAAACTTTGTTGCAAGTCTTTCAATTTTCCTCTCTTACAATTAATTACCTCTTGCATTAGCTAAACTTTTGTTGGGAAAAATATGTTAAAACGGAATATTCTTTTCATCAAAATACCAACTTGATATCCAAATGTAAATATCAACCAGCACAACATAAACAATAGAGCAAATAATCAATCACATAGTGAGACCAAATCTTTTTAACGTGGAAAACCGAGAAAAACCACGGGACCGTAATCCACCTCAAACTTCCACTATCAATAATAATGATAACAGGTTTACAGTAGGTCTTCTCTAGAATAACTAGAGGATCAGAATAACATCAAAAACATAGATCTTGGCTCTAGCATATAGATGGATCTCCTCAAAAGAGAATTCTAGGTCTCACAGAGTGGATATCACAGGATTCTCCACATAAAATTTGGGCCAAAACTGACAACGTTTGGCCACCGATCGTCAAACAGAAAACTCAAAAATCTTACTTTCTCTCTCTATTTCTCTCTCCTCTTTTGTCTGCACGCCGCCGCACGCTTTCACTATGCGCACACACATTGCCATCACCCAATTTTACCCATTCTCTCTTAATTTCTTTGATTTGGGCTCATGGCCCAAATTTGTCGAAGCCCATATATGGACTGAACCTAACAATTTTTTCGAGCAAAAAAAAAAAAATTTTCATAAAAAAAAAAAGAAAAAAAAGCAGCTATTCAATCAAGATGAATCCAACCAATAATTATGACATGTTGTGTTTGCAGACGATTAAACACTCCTGATAGAGATCAGTAATTAGGGGGACACGACATCGTGTTTTTCCAGATTAATGGAATATCATGTGAAAATAAAATTATTTGTCACACTGTTTTGATTTGGTGGGGAACGATGTCACGTGATATGTGTGACATTTTTCACGGCAACCGGGAAGGTTCGCGCCGCGGTGGGGTGGTCATTCACCGTGATCTTGCTCAGGCCAAGGAACAGTGTGAATCATGCATCCGTTTGGCCGAGCTATAACTTAAACTGCGAGTTCCACGCTATGTCGCGCACATCATACGTCTGTTTTCTGTATCCTGATCGTGGATGAACAGCTGAGACTCATCCATTGTTATCCACATAACAGAGTTGGAGTAGTCGAATTCAAGTTTATTATCACACGCCTTTAGGAGGCGGGTCGTCGGTCTCGAATCACCGCAACCCACATTCAGGCGCGCTGTCGGAGGTACGCACGCCGCGATCTCTCTCCTTGCAACCCCTGTCTTCGATCCAAGATCTTTATCTCTATTCTTTAGCTCAAATTTTGGGGAAATATAGTCCGGTTAGTGTAACACCCCTGATTAGTCCCACATCGAAAGTGGGCAGAATTAAGATTGACTTATAAGAGTCTGATGAGTGTACTACTATCAACTTCAGCTTAAGCATTTTGGTCAGTGGTTTAGACCAAACGAAATTGATAGGCCAGTTAGCCCATCAGGCCCGAGTCATTATATTTGGTATCAGAGCCGACCTAGCATTTGGGCATGGTGAGGGGGCTCGAGTAGGAAAGGGCTACCCGTAGACGGAGTCAGAGGACTCGTCACGGCGTGGAGCCACCACTGGGC